ACTTTAGCAACGCATGTTCATATTCTAAGAATTCCACACATGTCTATATGTCATATAAATCGAAGTAGTACAATTCCGTAAACTGATAATTGCCTTTTTAATTTTTCCAATAAATATCATGATATCTATAAAGGTATAAAAATAATATTAATATTATTGAGTTGTCTGTTTGTTACGTCTCTTTCTGATGACGTTGGTTGCATTGCCATTTTGTTTAAGAATTAAGTAACGGCCTCAAAAACTTTTCGTTAATAAGGTAAATACATTCATACATACATAACCTCACGCCAGTCACCCATGGGGGTAGGCAGAGACTAAGGAACGCCAATTACTACGATTCTTACACAGGTATTCTATACCTTTTTTTTAAGGGGGGAAAATCATCGAATGTCTGCTCAGCCTGGGTGAGGCGGGAGGGAGTGTCAGACTCTTACTGACTAAAACCACCCCGTTCCTTCTCCTGCGCGTCGAGCCAAAGCCTCGGTAACCTGTTAGGTTCTCCGCGACGTATTCTATACCTTAGGACAATGATTCAGACGCCCAATACTTAAAATTTCGACGTCAAAATACACAATAGCCATGATCCAACAATCAGACGTAACTTAAACTTTAATTTAAACTTCCAAAACTTGACAACCACCTTATAATCAATACAATATTATCTTCCAAAACGAAATCCGGATCGCAAACTAGTGACAAATACAATCAAATATCATTACGACTGACTAATAGGATATGAACAACAAAAGGCATAATAATATAACATTAAAAAGTAAAGTATCATAAACAAAAATGTCTCACCAACCTTGTCGACTGACAGTGACAAATTACAGTTCCGTCCTAACCGTATTAGTAATATAACAAGCTATTTTATACAGGTGGACAAAATCGGAACTAATTTCTGTTCAAACAAAGTCTTTGAACAACTTACTTTAAAGCGACACTAGCGCCATTCTCATTTGAAGAATGATATTGGTCTATTCATTTCAAAATACAAAGTTTTTGCATTTAGAGCTTTATTTTGTCACTGTAAAGGTGTTTTTTCTAATTACAGTACTTGCTTATATTATGTGCAATGTGCAGTACATTGACGCATTAGAAAGAGAATAAGCTTTTGTGTTCCATACTAATATGGTAATATATACTAAAAAGTGTATAAGAATGGACCTATTGTGCCTAATAGATCAATGTAAGCCGCATCATTGTTATAATAGTCATTCGTTTGTATGTCATACACTTTCATTAGTTCTACTTCCTATCTCGTTGTGTGGTATGTTAGTGCCAATATAATATATGTATTTTGTGCATTTTCTATCGCTTATACCACGGGGAGTGCTGTGAGGAATTGTTTGACCTGATACCTGCCGCATCTTTTCGATATCGACCCTCACGACAGCATATGCCCGACATATAGATGGTTGGCAGGACTCACGATGCTTTCTGCCTCGCACAGCAAAACTATGGAATGATCTGTCGTCGGCGGTATTTCCGAACCGATACGACCGTCAAACCTTCAAGAAAAGAGCGTATTCCTTTTTAAAAGGCAGGTAACGCATCTGTGACTTCTCTGGTGTTGCGGGTGTCCATGGGCGGCGCTGATCGCTTACCATCAGGTGATCCGTCCGCTCGTTTGCCTCTTGTGCCATAAAAAAATACTAGCGATTCTAATCATAAGATAGGGGAAAAATAAATAACTAATTGGATATGAAAAGTACGAAAACATTATTTTATTCACAATGGGCCACTATCTCGTCCGGTGGTAAGATATGTTGCGGCCTACGATGGAGCATGTCTGGGCATAAGCACTCAGACTTTGACCACGCCGAAAGTCTTGCACCTTTGCACGTTTGTGTTTGAAGCTCCAAAAACTCATCATTGTCGATAAACCCCTTGTCATGCTTCTCCATGTATTATTGAACAATTTTCACGATCGTACCTTACATTTCAGACCATAGTAATAATGTCATCAGTGGTATATGTATAGGTATTAAAATTTAGCGACTACACTAACGAGGCTGTACAAATACATGACATACATAAGTATTCCTGATTTCAACGTAAAATCCCAATAAACACAGCTACCTACTTATGTCACAATCAAGGAGAAAGTTGCATCTATTTATAAATCACTGATCTTGATGATAAATGATGATAAACATGATTACATGGACATTAACTATAACCCATAGAACCATATCATTCACAAACAACTAATGCGGAACGGATTACTCAATAAAAACAAAGTAATATTTTATGAAATACATAATAACTGATGATATTTGTGATAACCCAGTTTGGGTCATAAAAATAGATGACCCAGTCAGTATCGTTTGAGTTTCCAACCAGTCACCATGACTATGAAAGAAGGGACGATTTGTAGCCTGATACAATCCTTTCCCGTGTTTCTAATACTAGCGCAGAATGCCCAAAAGTGCCTTAAAACTCCTTTAGTTTATAAACCACCCAGCCCCACCCACTCTCCTGAATACTACGAGGCTTTGGATGCATTATTCCAAAGTCTATATGGTCATGGGCATCAAGCACATGTGCCGACATACCACAGCTATCCAGCCCATCAAACTCCTAGTATATCCTGTCAGTATTCTTACGGGTATGGCAAGAAGTGGTCATCTTCATCCCATGGTGGTTCAAAGCCTTGTTACCAATATGTTTATTCCAGTGGTAGTGATTACCACACTTATGGCTCTGGTTTACAAGGGTACCCAAGTTATGGATCGTATGGGCTGAAGAAAGGGAACATTTATGCCCTGAATGGAAACCTTACTACGACTGGATACGCTCCCAACCAAGTTTATAACACCAAGAATCGCTACCAGGTTGTGGTTAAGAAAACCAGGGTAGGCAGCAGAAAAAAAAATGGGAAACGTCATGCAGGTATGAATTTTTACTTCTAAAATGTTCCAGTAGTTAGAGCCAGATTTTGGAGACGATTGAGAGGTAGACAAAGGTTACTGAACTTTTCGATATTAGCCGTTTATTAAGTTGTCAGTTTGAACCCTGGAATATTAGGAGTCGATTACGGAGTTACACATTTGACAAAGATTGGGCCACAGCACTCCCTGATAAATTTAAAACAGGACCCTGAATTCTGCTTTTAATAGTTCCGCTGTTATTATACTTTGACAAAAAACAACAATTAATGCTGTACATAAATAATTGTAATACATGTTCTAATGATCGGGCGTGTAATTTTATCCTATGTAACATTATTTATCCTACAGATAAACACTTGATTGCACCGTAAATAATGTGCGCCATTAGTGTTTAAACTGTCAATATTCTGTGACGGATATAACGCGTGTAGGTATTCTTAATTTATGCAATTAACCCTCCACACTGAATCTACGTATACGTTTGTAATTCGCTGTGTGAGTGACGTTACTGTAGGTCCAATCTTCCTCCACCACATCCCCAATTCTCAAATCCCTATCTCCTTAAAGCCCCCGAGATCATCTCAGGCCACCGTATAACACAGGCCTGCGGACGGCGACCCGAGCATACAGCGCGTCGCGTTTCGCGCGTGCCTCAAAGAGGCACCACACCACCACCATGGATGTTGCCCAATAGGGCTAATACCGATACGGAACCGCGGAGAACTTAACGCGTTGCTGGGGCGCCGCTTCCGGTTCGACATGCAGGCAGTATCTCGTATCTCTCTCGTCTCACCCGGGCGGGAGAATTCATTCGATGATTTCCCCCCTTAAAAAATCTCCCAAAATCCCACAACGCACTTTTAACTCCTTTAGTGTTGCGGGTGTCGATGGGTGGTGTCGAACACTTACTATCAGGAGATTGTCTGCTCCGTAACCCAATAAATCACACTCTTGTTAACAAATGATTAAACAAGAAATATGAGTGACAAAAAAGTAATTCATAATGTTATAAAATATGTTACAAGTATTTGTTGTCATAGCTCATCACATTGAAGAACTTGACAAAATATTTTTTCATACATACATAAAGTACTAATGTTTTTGTCGAACAAGTATAGGCAGAAACCACAAAGTGCTACTTACAACGATCCTTACGTAGGTACTTATGTATCTAGCTTCCCCCACATATGTACATATGTTCATACAACACTATTTTTATGAAAAAAAAATTTGTTACATGATTGAGCTATTTGTGCTTCAGTACTTAGTTAGTTTTTTTTACATATTTGTAAATTTGGGTACGTTGACCTTTATGTACAAGATAGGCGTGAACCTTTTTGCTCGTCATTACATAATTGAATTTTGTGTGAAGGTAAAGTACCTATCTGTTTACATTTGGTCTTAAATCAATACTACTTTTCGTACACTACTACAATATCACTGCAGGATCGCATATCTAGGAGGTTTTACTCCAAGACATGTACAAGCAATGCTTTTTTACTAATTCACTTATTTTCAAGTAAATTCTTTATTAGGGCCTTTAGCCAAACGCCACTTTAGCGCTTGTCTACAGAGAGATTAGAAAACTAAATGTATGGGGATGACACTGACAAGTATCATACGTCAATTCCATATAATTTGATTTTCTATTCTACATGTAGACAAGCGCTAAATGGCATTTGGCTACAGCTGTAGGTTACACATCGCACACAAAACATAAGAAAATTCACGTAAAAGCCGATACAACTACAAAAAATTATTTGAATATGTATTGCACGAAAGTTTGACAAAAAACAGATATTCATAATGAACCTATGACACAACCAATCACGGTCAATCACCAACCTTGTTCAACCATGATTTGGAGACGTACGTCACAGTAGCAGCCGTCATCACTTCCCCCTAGTTCCGGATACCAGAGTAAAATACCCAAATATCTCAGAGACTATAAACTTCCCTAGCTGTGACGTCATAATCATTGGCCATTGAGCTTATATGACTTCAATCAAGTTGATCAAGTTCAGTCTTGGATAAACGTCGGCTTGTGTCGGACGCGAGTTGTAACTTAGGTAATCGGTTTGTGATCGCGTAAACACGCGACTTGTGATGGCTTTAAGAGGATTTCTTGTGTTTTTGTGTGTCTATCTGTGTGTACAAAATGTGATCTGTCAATTTGGTAAGTTCATTTCCACGTAAAAACTGTTAAAATACTAGATAAGTGATTTTTTTCGTAGTTGTAAATACGTTATCGTGACTATATTTGTGTGTGCATGTCTAAAACAGTTATGACCTTTGAAAATGTCAAGATTTTATCTCATTACTTAAACTTAAAAATAAAACGTACGCATGTAAAATACATCTACAGTAAATTAATCTACTAACAAATGTAACGTGAAGTTTTAAAATGTTCGCATGACCGCACAGTTTAACAATACTCATAGTTATTTGGAGGTAATTATAAGTGAGGTTGCATTGCCAAACTATTGTTCTAACAATGATAAGATTTAAATAGAATACAACCCTATTTGATAGTCCAGTCACATCATAGAACTAAACAATCAAAAACACGTAAGTACCTAGTCAGTACCTATACATGAACAGACATCAAAACAACGTATAATTTGTATTAGAAAAAAAGAGGAAAAAACATTGAGTTAATAAAAAATTACTTACATCATTGAGTAGATGTAATTAGCCTAGCCAGCAAGTCAAGGTACCCCATTCTGTCAAATTCCTTTATTGAAGTTTCAGCCTTATAGTGTTGTTATAAGGTCGAAAATACAATGACAAAGACTGACCAATTGGGGTAGATTGACACGCTGTCACTGTACAAGTTTAGTGTGTGTGGAGTTTGCAATCAGATTGTTAAGATCAGGAGGTCAATGGTACGGATACGGTCGGAAGGGCTTCCCCTTTTTTTGTTATCATTTAGTGATAAGGTTTTAATTAATCTCTTAAGTACGTTAGTATCTAGGTATTGTACATTTTAAGCACTAACTTGTGAACGTCATAATATTCTAGTCATACTAGTTCTAAGTTCTGTTTGTTTGACTGTGTTTATGAAACGATATAAATTATAAATTAGTAGATGTTGCTCGCGACTTCGTACTCGTAGAATATGACTCCTGCTTTATCCCAGGAGCATTTAATCGGGATAAAAAGTATCCTATCCCCTAAGTCAGCCCATACCCTGCATGTATACCAAATTTTATGATTGACGGACAAACATCTAAACAAAAAACACATTTAACTATAATATTAGTGTAATTTGTTTTTTTTTTTATTAAAATATAATAAAACATCGGTTTATGAATATCAAACAATTTTTCGTAGATATTGTAGTGGGTAAAATGTAGGATTGAAATTAAATCAGACTATATAAATACTCATCAGACAAACAATTAGAATATGAAGTAATTCATTGGAAAATCTCAATAGAAAACAAGAAAATATCAATATTTCACAACATAAGATACACACATTTAAAGAATTCACATATTTCTCAATATAGTACCTAATATCGTAACCAAGTAGTCTGTTGACCTTGTCCAGTCATGACCTGGGCCATGAACCCCAACTATTGAACTTGAATGCCCACTGCACCGTGACACGAGTATACCTTACTAGGTACCTATTTAACGCATCTTTTTTCCTTATAAACTACTAATGAGTTTTGTATCTCAAGTATACAAGAGCATCTCATATCTAGTTACTCCAACGCGATTTCATCCGCTGTTCGACTCGTATTATAACCGTAGCATGATGTTTTATAGCCTATATCCTTTCTCGATAAATAGGCTATCGAATACAAAGAATTATTCATTCAAACTAGTAGTTTTAGAGATTAGCGCGCTCAAATAAAGTGAATTCATATATCTAACCATCTATAACTATACATATAATAAAATCATAGTTAAGTGAAAACTGTACATTGAATATTTTTTTAAATAATGCTTGGAGTGAGATCCACAAGCGATACCGAAGCTAAAAATATGGTTTTTGAATTTTTGTGTGTTTGTCTGTATGTATGTCCGGGCTAAACTCAAAAAGTACTTTTTTTATGGCATAAGTCGGTAAGCAATCGGCGTCGCCCATGGCCACCTGGAACACCAAAGGCGTTACATGTGGTTACCAGCCTTTTGGGGATTAGGAGTTTGAGGATCGTTGGGGATTCAGGGATTGGGAAGACTACATGGAGTTACTTAAAATTTTGCACGAATATTACTAACAGGTCGGGTCAACATATAGGCCACATATTATCACGCTATCACCTACGGGAGAGGAGCTGTGAATCACTATTCCACGCGGACGAAGTCGTGGGCACAGCTAGCACGTACCTATATAAAGTTGAAGAGATATATTTTTACTAGCTTTTACCCGCGGCTTCGCTCGCGTCACAAAAGGATAAAAGTAGCCTATGTGACACAATACACACCGCGCCATCTATACCAATTCTTCTGTTTTCCCTCGGGAATATCAAAATTTTCCGGGATAAAAAGTACCCTATTATTTAATCCAGACTTCTAACTTTACATCTACAAAAATTCAAAGCAATCGGTTTAGAAGATACGGCGTGAAAGCGGAACAAACAAACAAACTCACTTTCCCATTTATAATAGTAAGGAATACTCTGATGATAGCTTGAGCACGTCAGACGTTGCTTAAGCATTATGTTCAAAAAAGTCCTCAAAAAAAGTTAGAATTCAAAAGAATTAAAAATTCAGTATTACTTTGTCCGAGGTATTGAGCTTGAAACCTTGGTTCAACATCAGCAGTCACACGTGCAATCAATTAACGAATGATTCATTATATTTTTCTGCAAAAAATCTACCTCTACATCCGCAAATATGAATGAAAAATACGCAACCAAAACACATTTAATAATAGTATTCTGATTTATATAGAGGTATATTTGAAAAGTCCCATGAAACACCGGCTATATGTGATTCCCCATAACGTTATGGTTGAGCTGTTCCCAAATACCGACATTATGTCCAAATTGGAGTACTGTAATACCAGCCATGTATAAACGATCTTGGCTGAAGGCTGTATTGGCTGAATCACACTTATGACAAAGAAATTAATTGCTAAATATGACATTGCACTTTGATTGCACGTACAACGAACTCAATCAACTTTTGAATGAATTAAAGTTTTGTAAAAAGTGGCTTTGTCGCTAAATAAATACATACATTATTTACCCACGAGAGCAACATGTAGTTGCATTTATTATTCTTTGTGTACTCGAATGTTAAAGATAATAATTCAAGCTCATAACTCAGTATTACTGAAGGCATATTGTAATTGGACCGGGTATATCATTTTACGATCCGGGCATAATGTGGATGACTTTGGCAATTCATACCTTTAGATAGAGAATTAAAGGAATCAAATTGGACTTCTTCCAGATGATGATAATGATAACATAGTTAACGAAAAGAGTATATTACATGCAAAAGACCCTTTTTTAATTCATAACATCAAGCCTTCGAATACCCAAAACCTTGTAGACATCTGCAATCACCAATAAAGTCCAAATTACTCCAAAAATAGATTCCGAACGTCTTTATCACACTGATAGCAACATAACTTGAATAACAAACAAGTTCCGTTTGTAATAAAAACAATATAAAACGTAGCGAAGGCATTAACCATTGACACTGAGTAAAACCACTTATATTGTGGGAAACAAAAAATAACGTAAATACAAGTACGAAGTACTTTATCTATGAGGAAACTGGCAGACACCTGGCCAGTACTATAGCAGTTATAGTAGATTCAACTTCATTGCGTTCATATACAATATGTTGTTAAGAAACATCTTTAGTTACAGTATCTTGTTAGTGAGTTAATAGTGCTGATACTGAGTTTAGGATACTGGGATCGATCAATGGAGTCGCTGTAATGTTTTGAGATTTAAGTTATAGTGTTGATTTAAGAGGTGGATTATTAAATTAAATCGTTTAGAATACAGAAAAATATAGTTTTATTGAGCAAGACTTTCACATTTAACAATCAATGAGATAAAACGCGGAAAAATGAAAAAAGAATTGCCAACCTAACAGTTACAATTATTGTCAACAGAACAAAATAAAGGTTGCGTTCTCAAATACCAACATATAGTCAAAATTAATGAAATAGTTATTATGTTTTTCGGCTTACTGTCGCGCTGCTAGCTACTCCCTAGAGCAGTCACGTCGCTTCGCGTGTCGTGGAATGCTGCTCATGAATATGAGCCTCTAGCTTGGTTTGAAACTAGTCGAGTTCCTCGTCAAATAATTAAGCCGAAATCATAATAATTAATTTAGTATGTCTCACGAATGTTATGATATAAATAATGAAATTGTTGTTAAATGCAATTTAACATTAATCTTGGTTTCATCATCATTGTCCATAATTATACTGAAATGAGATTGTCTTTGAATGCATTCATCCATAGTGCATTTAAAAATAACTGCGATTTACATCCTTTTTCAAACAGAATAAAGTCCTGTATGGAGTTGACTTCAGAGTACCAAGCACGAATAACTATCACGCTCACTATCGCTCGATACTATTACGTTACGATTGCGATAGTTATTCGTGCTTGGTACTCAGGCTCTCGTACGCCTTCCAAAAGACCGGCACCCTATGGTTCCGTGTATGGAAAGGACAAAAATACTAATCTTTAAATACCGCCTCGTTGGCCGAGTGTTCGCAAGTGCGACTTCCGGGCAAGGGGTGTCGGGTTCGATTACATGGGACTCATAACCTAATGTTATGTTAATATTGTTGTTGTTAATCTTTAAACAACTTAAGCATGTTCTAATTTTCAAAAGAATAAACTAATATACCATTTTCTCGTAAAACATTGTGACTAACTTTCAACCTTAGGACCGAGTCTGACGTCAAATCCCATAACCAGTCACCATAATTTAACCATGTTCTTGAAACGCACTAAAATCCAGCAATACGTGTTTTAACCAGAATAACAGGTTAACTGTATCAGGAAATAAGGTAGGTATAACAAAGGATAAGTATACACCAGACAATTAATTTATTTCTGGTAAAAGGGATCGACACAATAATAGCAAATTGTCATCAGTTGCTTGTCCATAAAGACCATTTAACTTACATTAGTAGTTAGATAGGTTTATTAATGAAATTATGTTTTTTGCAGGTTTCTTCAATCCAAGAGGGAACCGAAATAATGGTTTCTTTGGCCAGGAGTACATGCAACCCAGAAGACCGGACAGGTTTTCTAACTTCTTCAACCTCCAACCAAAACGACCAGTGATTAATCCAGAGAATAACCAAGATACCATTTACGTCTATGAAGTAAGTCCAGGGTCTCAAAACCAATATGACTATAATGGCAGACCTGTCGTTTTTCCAACAAACCGACCAATGTATAACCAGAATGGTCAGAATAATGGAAACGTTAATTTCCAAAACAACCCTAATAACGTTAATTTCCAAAACCCGAATGGTAATTTCCAACCTAACCCTAACAATGGGAATTTCCAAACAACAGTCCCTTATGATGGAGGTTTTCAACCAGCCCCCAATGATGGCAGTTTCCAACCAGCACCCAGTGATGGTAGTTTCCAACCCGGCCCAAGTGACGGTAGCTTTCAACCAGGCCCAAGTGACGGTAGCTTCCAACCAGGCCCCAGTGACGGTAGCTTCCAACCAGGCCCCAGTGACGGTAGCTTCCAACCAGGCCCAAGTGACGGTAGCTTCCAACCAGGCCCCAGTGACGGTAGCTTCAAACCAGACACAAGTGACGGTAGCTTCCAACCAGGCCCCAGTGACGGTAGCTTCCAACCAGGCCCAAGTGACGGGACGGACGACTTCCAACCAAATAATGACAATGAAGTAACCAATACAAACGAGGAGAAACCCCCACAAAACGGATCTAACGGCGGTTTCGAGGATGTGAATACTACCACTACGCCTAGTCCAGGTATTTTTTTTTATTACCTTTAGATAGCATTAGCTTCTACCTGCGGCTTCGCCCGTGTTCCCGTGATATAAAAAATAGCCTATGTCATATTCCAGACCATAGTATATCCCTGTTTCAAATTTCGTCCGGATCCCTTCAGCGGTTTTGATCTAATCGAGTAACAAACAAATACACAAAGTCACATACTTTTACATTTATAATATTAGTATATATTAGGGAATATATTAGGATTAGGTACCACAATGTTTCGAAACTGAGGTGTATTTCGTAAGAAAAGGGATATATGTTAGTTACGATAAATTGGGTGTTAAAAAATTACTGCCTTTGACTTTGCTTAGTGCTATAAATCAGGTCATTGACCAGGGTCATACATATGTTTTATCATTGTATGTATCACGTTTTTACACGGTATTTGCTCAAATCAAATGGTTTGGATAATCTAGAATAATGTACAAATTTATAAGAATTATATGACAGCTCACCGACATATAATGAAAATGATAAAAACGAAAAAAGTCAATGCATATTTTGTCCAAAAATATCAAATATTTTCCAGATTATTAAAAATCTCATTTAACATCTATCCGTAAATTCGGGTTCAAAAAACTATAAAGTAATTCTTTATGAGACTTAAGTTTCGTTTCGTTATTTAAATTCATAATTAGGATTAAAAGATTACCAAAGCCACTCAAAATTGGTATTCACTAGCATAGGTCACTCTGGCATACCTTTTTATTGGGACAACATTTTACATCTAAACCAGTTCAGCAACACAAAATTCCTGTTTTAAAATCTAATCTAAATGATATTATTATCACAACAATAAATAAAAAATAAATTAGAAGATATCTTATCGAATTTACATATCAAAACTAAAGAATAAGATTGACTTAAAGACTTAGATTGTGATGTTATCAAAGAACTTATTGCTAAAAATACAATAATCATTAATGCTGATGATAAATATTGAGGTTTCTTTGCAGAAGATGTTGGAGTTACAGCACCAAATGATCCAGTGAACTTTGACGATATACCGACATGGAAACCACTAACCCCGGTGCCTACTGTCTCCACGGAATCAAGGAACAGCTTCAATTTCCAACAAAATCCAAATCAAGGATTGTTCAGTAAGTTTAGATGCTAAGACGCTAATTAACATATACAATCAATTTTACAGGAGTTCCCCAGGGCCTTTTACAAAAGCTTTCGATAGATCTCCGCAAATAGTACAACGAAATAGCTTATTAGAAATCAGGCATTACTTATTTGAATTCCAGAGACTAAAGATAAAAAAGTTTTGAAAGATTTACTAGTTTCTCTGGATTTGCTTACTTGGCTAGACTTAAGATCGTTATAATTTTAAAAGCGGTTTTTCGCAGGCTTACGCTAATATTTAAACCAAATTTTCAGTTTTCTTTGGCCTCTTGCTTTTTTGTTCCTATTGCCTCTTTGTGTTATTAATTTTCTTGCCTTTTATTAGTAGCTAATAAAACACGTTGAAGATGTTTTCTGTTCGTTCATATTTTGCTTATCAGTGTGCAACTCTTATTTACCTTATTACACTTCGTTGACCTCTCTCTGTTGACACTACTATATGTAATGGATCGACTCTTGCGCAAGTTTCAATGTTGTGTTAATAAATGAATCACTTTTCAACCTTCGATTTTACCTGTCTATCTACTCCCGATCTTGTATGCTAATTATTATTAAGATGACCTTTGTAGTTTTGATATTTTCTTCGGTAGGTATTGTAGGTAGTCATTAATTAAATAAAAGTTCATGTAAATACAGGTAAACCTGAGACATAATTATAATAATTGACACTCTGTGTCTGTTAGATGGTTACCTTTATGATCAAATACTTTCATTTTTATGCTAATTATGTATTTTATGTAGACGTCAAACAATTTTTAGCCGTAGGGTTCTTGCTTATTATCACTTCATAATATAACAGACGTCACGAGGAGTCCAGTCGAGTTATCGGTTTGGGTTGCAACACAATAATCTTTCGTTGCCTACCATAAAAAACCTGTTTCAAATTATTCAACGATGTTTTACTTAACCCAGAGGTCAAATAGTGACACGTGTAATCACCAATTCAACTATAAGTTAATAACAAAATTATTGACAACTTGCTCTTAAACAACACCAATCCATTCGGGGAAGAACATACCAAGACGTTACATAAAGTACAATAAAAAATACGTCTTATTATTTGTGAATGAGTGTTTATTTTGCTGTGCAGAAGACGTTCAGTTGTTTTTGTTTCATCTTGGTCATCCCTGTTTTGTGTGTCATGGCTATCGGGACGGAGTGAGCTACCTTGCCCAGACGACCTCCTGACCATTATATTGATAACTTACTGAAACAACGTAGGACAGATTCGTAATTTTTCTTATAAATATAAACATTGATGTCTTTTATGTGCCGAATGGATAGTCAATTGTAATTTAAATGATGGTTCAATTATACTTTTTTCTACATGGGCGATAAAGCACTTGTAATATCTCTGCTGTCGCCGTTTCACGTAGGTAAACCATCAATCTTAAAACAATCCTTTTCATTGAACAGACCGAGATGGTTATTTTATTTTTGTTTTTATTACACTGGCCAAAAGCGCCACCATTCAAATTATTTGAAACAATGAAAGGAGCCGATTTAATTGACAATAACAAATTCTTCTTCCATTACAATTAAACAGCATGGATATGATTGACTAATGAAATAATGAAATAAAGAATCTTATGCTCTTATACTTATTTTTATACTTTTCTTATACTATTACCTCTATATAAAGCGGAAGAGTTTTTTTTTTGTTTGTTTGTTTGAACGCGCTAATCTCCGTAACTACAAGTCTGATTTGAATAATTCTTTTTGTGTTGGATAGCACATTTATCGAGGATGGCTATAGGCTATACACATCACGCTACGACCAATAGGAGCTAAGCAGAGCGTGTAAAACCGCGCGGAAGTAGCTAGTTTAATAAATAAGATTAAAATCAGTTAAGTAGATTTCATACTAATCACTTGGAAACAAAATGGCGTACATACCTAGATCTTCCATCTGTCTATGTTCTTAATAATAACTATAAATTAAACAACAAAACAAAAATCAAATTATTTATTACACTGTACTAAGCAAAGGTTGTGTAATTCGACGGCGAGCGCTTATAGATTGCCAATAAAATACTTATCGTTTTATATCAACTCAAATCACATAGGTATCTCATAAATCACTGAATCAATTTCAATGAAACTTTTGATATTTTATAAGCTAATAATTTGATGATAAAAGTGACTTTGCTTAAGTAGGTAGTCTGAGTATATAATTATAGGTAGACATAGCAACACGTGTCTCGCTATAGTAGAAGACACATGTGTATTATGTCCAGCAAACATTTTTCTTTACTTTCCTAGTGTCCAAATAACATAACATCACCTTTTATCCCCGAAGGGGTAGACAGAGGTGCACACAATGGCACTACTGTACAATGTAACACCCGGTTTTCACTATTTATATTATAAATCCCATGTTATAGGGGGTGAGCCTATTGCCATATTATACCGGACAGAATACCAGACTCCGTGCTTTTAAATTAAAAAAAACTAGTAATACTTTGCCCTACCTGGGAATCGAACCCGAGACCTCTTGCCTGGTAGTTACACTTGCGACCACTCGGCCAACGAGGCAGTCGATTAATACAAATATTAGGATCATTACAATTTATGCACTAATTAACATGTAACGTAAGAAAAACAATTAACAAAACAATACGGATGTAAAATTGAAAATAATAGGAGTCTGTATCGAATTCGCTAATGCCGTGATCTTAAGGTTTTTTACAAACAATTATTATAAATCAACAAAATACATAGTTTTCTGGCGGTGACGTCACCAAGGTCAACCGCTTACTGCGGGTCAAACGTTTTTACAATATTTTGTTGATTTTAACGCCTTGTATCTATGCAGCGTCAAAGGAGACGAATTATATGTTTAATCGTTTATAACTCTTTTTTTTGGTTACATTAATAATGGTCAATTCTTCAATTTTAAGCTCGTATAAATATCACATTTACCGATTCTCTAAGAAAGTCTGAGAAATATGTTTCCGTTTTTCCCTGACACAGTTATGCAATAAGTTATGTACACTCTGAAAATATTTCGGATTTTTCCGAAAACCTATGGTAGTGTTTCCCGAAATCCCCATCCCAAAAGATTTACATATACCTAAGGTATGTTTGTCAAAGATGGCCCGCTTTCTGAGACGGGCACTTAAAAAATATGCAGTTATGATTACTTTTTTCGATATCTTGATTGTCAAATAAAAACATTACAACCTCCAATATGTTTCTTCTCTACTTTATTTATCTACAAGATATACAAGGTTTGAAATAAGGTGGATCTTATTAGGCGACTGTACCTTATTTCAGATTCCTAAATCTAGTTTCGACTAGCATATTCGAGTTTTATGTTATTTTAGTGTTGAATACTAAATTGACTGTTTCATTGTATTGTGACAAAAAATCTTGAAACATTCCGACATTGAGTTATTTCTCTTTTTCTAGACATTTTTTATACTAGTCTGAGGTTAATGAGTTTTAAATAATATTTTGTGTTTTATAATAAGACTATTGGCATGAAATACGTTAATGTCTCATGTGTTTTTTTATCGGTAAACGAGCAGATGGGTCACCTTATAGTAAGCAATCGGCGACACCTGGAACACCAGAGGCGTTTCAATTACGTCACCGGCCTTTTGGGGATTAGAAGTTTGAGGATTGTTGGGAGTCAGGGATTGGGGAAATTGGAGAGTGGGATAATTAGGTCTCCTGTATTTGTATACAGCATGATACATGGAAATAACTTAAACAAGTTTCTGGATTCGAACAGTCAAAATATTCATTTTAAATTGGGTACTTGCCAACTAGTTAAATTCAATACTTTTTTCGAACTGTCAATAACGACAGCATAATTACTTCTTAAAAATTTGCTGTGAAAAATACTAAATGAAAGTGTGATTATTTTTTAATATTTTATTGTAGGTATTGAATAGTCGAAATAACTTATTTTTGATTAAGGAAAATACTCATTTGTCTTCACGTGCATTTTATTTAAGGAAGTGACGTCATGTATTATTATGATATTTGATTAAAAAAAGTCGATTTTAAACAATCTATCAAGATATGACAACAAATTTTGATTTTATCAAAAAGCAGTTGTCCATTGTAAACACTAAACAGTCTATTAAAACTATGACAACATTTTTGATTTATAAAAAAGCAAGTATCGAATTTTTTTTTACTAATCTACTAGTTAATTAGATTAGAGAAAAATGTTTTCGAGAATATTTCGAACTCAGTAATCAGCAACATTATATTCGACAGATGATGTGGCTACTAGGTAAACACTAAATACTTTGTTAACTTGGTATCATATTTGTGACCAGCAAAACATCGGGCACCAATTCTTTTATATCTTAAACCTGCCCTCAATACTTTAAGAGAGCACGAGCGAAATCGTGGGCAGAAGCTAGTCCATGAATAAAGTGTATTAAGTTAATTTATTTCATATTTTTTCTTTAAAATCCCTGATTCTATTGCAGCTAGATCTCCTAATTTTCATGCGATTCTTATAATTGTTTTATTTTGTTAATGGCAACAATAAACATGAATGACTGCTACCGCCTGGGTGAGGCGGGAGGGAGTGTCAGACTCTTACTGACTAAAAACCACCCCGTTCCTTCTCCTGCACATCGAGCCGGAGCCCCGGTTACCCGTTAGGTTCTCCGTGACAACAATAAACATACTTAGCGGTTTCTGTTGTCAACTTCTATAAATCACTTAAAAACATTAATTAGTCATAAGTTACCTACATAAAAGATATGAAGAATAAACGAAATATGTAATATTTTGATAGATAAGTACCTGCGTGATATAAGTACCTACCAAGCAAAATTAATGAAAGTCACGGTGATGTTACTGTTTATAATTTTAAAGTGGCCTACGTGTTATTATACTACCTACATTAATTGGAGGTAATTTATCGGAAATCCCGATAGGATAGTTATTTATGTCTTAAATCTGTTGTTTTCGCCACTTTTTTCCTTAAACAAAGATATTGCCTTGGTGACAGTTGATTGCTATCATAGCTATAAGCTCTGTATAGGAATGAATGAACCATGTAATCAGTGCCTTTAACCAAACGACGCTTTAGCGAGACAGAGAGACTACTCTCTCTGAAAACTATTGTATGGGGATGACGCTGACAAGTGTCAAAATTTACGTCAATACCATATAATTTGGTTTTCTATTCTACATGTAGACAAGCGCTTAATGGCGTTTCGCTATAGGTACAGGTGTAAGAGCACTTATAGACACAGTATAGATGTTTCAGTTATTTATGCAAAGTATTTATTATAATCGACTGCCTCGTTGGCGACTGCTGGACAAGGGGTCTCGGGTTCTATTCACGGGTCAGGCAAGCATTAATGGTTTTTTTTTAATCTTAGTAGTAGCACGGAGTCTGGAATTGTGCCCAGTATATGATAATAGGCTCACCCCCTAATACATGGGACTCATAACGTGAATAGTGAAAAGTGGGTTATCCAATGTACAGTGGCATTTAAGTGCCATAATATTGACCTGTATCTACCCCTTCGGGGATAAAGGGCGTAATGTTATGTTGTTGTATTTATTATAATTTATTTTCAAAAGATATCATGGTCATGAGTTAAAATATATCCCTATTGTGGAGTAAGAGTTGCAGCCTTTACCAAAATACCAATATTGAATTCATATACATTGTTTTTGATTAAAAAAACGTTGCCACACACTAGGATTTTCTCCTGTGTTGTGGGTGCGTTAACAAACATACAAGTTCACATACACAAAGACACCCAGACCCGGAACACCAATTAATATAACATAACTGTACAAATAGGGTAGTAACCTTTGTTATATACTAGCTTTTACCCGCAGCTTCGCTCGCGAATGGATAAAAGTAACCTATGTGACATATATAAATACACACAGCGCCATCTAAACTAATACTTTTGGTTTCCCTCGGGAATATCAAATCTTTCCGGGATAAAAAGTACCCCATTATTTAATCCGGACTTCTAACTTTACGTCTGCAAAAATTCAAAGCAATCGGTTTAGTAGTTACGGCGTGATAGTGTAACAAACAAACAAACTCACTTTCCGATTTATAATATTAGTAAGGATCTTTATCGGCTAATAAAAGTTTTGTTTTCAAAAACCAGGTATACTTACCTACTCATACAAATCCGTGTGTTCGTATGATTAGATATATAAGTACATCCGTATTAACTTTATTTACTTTGTAAGTACATATGTTTACTAAACACCGGGTTTTCAGTCAGCAAAGGTTGACGGTCCTCTGTACCTTCTCCAAGCGAGTGAGCTTTTCCTCTTTAGAGTCAAGAAGGACTACATCACATCAACAGCCTATAAATGCCCACTGCTGAGCAAAGGCCTCTTCTCACACGGAGAAGGTTTGAGCATTAATCACCACTCTTGCTCAATGCGGGTTGGCGATTTCAAACTTTTAACTAGAAATTATAAGCCCAGGTTTCCCCACGTTTTCCTTCACCGTTTGTTAGTGGAGTCTGTGTAATCTTAGATAGTACATATAACTCGGAAAAAGTCCCATTGGTACTTGCCGTTCATAGGTTTCGAACCCGCACCCTTAAGGGTGAGAAGCGGGCGTCTTAACCTTCGGGCCACCACGACACGAGGACTACATAAAAACGGTATTTAAGCCATAGGTTTAGTTATAGGTTTTAGATTTTATTATAAAACAGTAATATTGAAAATCTTTTAAACATATTTGACTTTTTTATACTATACTACCTTCTGCCCACGACTTCGTACGCGCAATCCCGTTTTTTCCAGTTCCCGTTTGTTATTTTCGGTTAAAAGTAAAATAAAAGTATTAGTTAAAAAATTACTCTATCTCCGTCTACTTCTTTCGAGCTACTTCCCCACCAATTTTCACCCAAATCGATTAAGCCGTTCTTGAGTTACAAATAATGTAATTAACACGACTTTCAAATGAATATATCTTCGAAACTATTCGTTTCTATAAGAAAATAAATAAACACTACGTGTCTAATTTTTTTAAATAATTTACCAGACGGACATTAAAATTAGTCATCTACCCTATTAATATACTAAAACATTCTCCTAAGTGTAAGAAACACTTTACTTAAGACCGCATCATAGTCGGTACAGTCAATGGCGATATAAACATACAAACATTCAGGCCAAACTTAGAACCTCCTTCTTTTTTGAAGTCGGTTAAAAAACAAACAAACTACGCGTCAATGATGAAAATATGATTTGCATACAAATCTTGCATAAACACATACCTACACACTAGTCAAGTAAATTATTATTAATTAATTTACATTTACATTAGAAACCTGTTTCTATAATGTATCTACCTATATACTTAGGTGTTTCTACATTATTCATTACAGTTAAATGAAGGAGTATTTATACACAGAAGTGCACAAGGTACTAATGTTGATTTTAATTATCTATAGTTGGAAAAGTGTGACATAAAATAGAGAATAAGGACATTTTCTAAATAAGTATAGTATATGGCAATAGTCAGGCCGTAACACAAAGTTTAAGAATAAATAAGATTTTTTTTATAATTTATATCGTTTTTATTTTGTGTTATTCATGCAAAATCAACCTTGAGTAGTTGATTACAACTTTACTATCTACTATTTAAAAATAAGTCGGTTTTTCCTTCCTGGCGCTGTAACTCCAGAACGCACGAACCGATTTCCACGGTATTGCATTCGTTGGAAAGGTCTCGGGCTCCGTGGGGTTTATAGCAAAGAATTTTACATAAAACGAAGCTATCTGGTGCTGAAACGGGGTTCGCCGGGTTTGCTAGTTATTACATATAATAAACATTTAATTCCTTTCTTTCATGAATATAAAACTTGTTTTTTACCATCTCCTGTCGGCGTTGTTCGGGAGCATTTCATTTACACCTTGTATAGTGATAATATAGTCGTAACATCGACAGGGCTACCACTAGGTGAACAATCATCGTAGATTTTTAATAACTACATAATAATGTCACAGTAATGTTTACGCACGCTTTATTACGCTTAAATTTTCTTTCAATTTAAGCAAAAGTTATCAAGTTCTATACCATTTTATCTAACAAAGAATTTTGCTTTCTTAGAGGAAACCTGTCCAACGGTAGAAGGAGGTCTCGGCACCTGTATTTCAGTATACGAGTGCCAGCCCTACATCAGCGTGCTGCGTGAGTCGAGGACCAACCCTAACGCCGTGCAGCTGCTGAGGAGAGCACATTGCGGCTTTGAGGGGACTGCTCCGAAGGTAATTCGAAATTTGAATTTGTAACCTAACATAGACATTATTTCTAATTTCTTTTATTTCTCGGAGGAGCAAGCAAAAGTTAAAATATTTTAGTGCCCACTTTACTTTACTTTAGTTTGGTTAACGAAAACAATTCTAATGAAAATTCTAGAGAAATGGGAAAATTCGTATCTTTTATTCAACTAGAAAATATAGAACAGACTCACTCTAATAAGTTTGCACTCGATGAACAAAGCAAAGTTATATTAGAACTTTTAGCTATCACAATCCCTAAACAGACCCCTAGTCATGTGAGAATATGATTCATTTCTACAAATCTAATCTCCATCTTATCGTAGGAAGTTAGGAAGAATGATTCATGACCTCACAGTCTGAGATACCCACTGAACATTTCAAAGATAAAATAAATATCTTTCGCAAAAGATAATATTGAAAGTTGACATCTGACTTTTCCCCAAAATTTGATTAGCCATGGTGAGGACATGTAAAGAATAGTATTATTCACTACAAGCAAGTTATTCATTCCTTACCAACTGAAGATACGTTTTGGGCTCCAAATACTGAAAACTCTTAAAAACTTTAAGACCAATCTAAATGTTTTTGTAATATCTATCGTGAGACATACAGAATAAACTAAAAATCGAGGGTTACGACGATCAGTAGGCGACACTAGGCGACACAATATCGCCGCGACCGCGAACGCTACTCATGAGGAAGAACCCCTCTGTGGCTCGAAAATAGTAGTGCTTTTATTTGCAGTTTCACGTGGCGCGATTTTTAGTCAAAAATATTATTGATACTCGTCCATGGCCAGAGAATGGTGATTGAGACTATTGGCTTTCAACTGTCGGTCATTAATGAATTCAATTACGATACAAAAAGACTTTCTGAAATAGCTACAGGAACTTAAAAACCATTCTACACACGGCACTAACTAATAATTGCATAACCACGAACCTATACATTTTCATAAAACTAACATTTCCCACAGGTATGCTGTCCACTCCCTGGTTTCCCAGAACCTCAAGTTACTCTCCCCACTACGACCACTACCACTACTACTACCACCACGACTCCAAAACCGACACCAGCGCCAACAGACCCCGCAGCAGCAGCAAAGATAAGCCCCGAGGACTTTGTTCCTGCACTCCCTGATCCTCCGATCTGTGGGTTCAGCAATGCCTCTCTCGGAAGAGTCGTCGGTGGAGTTGATGCTGGTTTGGGTAAGATTTTGAAACTTTTATACCGTTATGACTTAAGACATAAGGGTGACCTTATGTCTGATGAAGAAATCAATGATAAAATACTGGTATTTTTTCAAAACAGCCAGTTTGCAAAATACAAATCAAAAGAGAATTTTCAGTTTTTTTATGTGATAAGCCGGTAACCGATCACCTGATGGTAAGCAATCGGCGTCACCCATGGACACCTAAAACATCAGGGGCGTTACAAGTGCGACCGTTTGGGAATTGGGAATTTGAGAATTGTGGTGGATTCGGGGATTGGCGATTTTATGATCACTTTAACTTTAAAATCAAATTTATCTGAATCACTGAAAATAAGTTACTTAATACGAGAGCTTTTGATTGAGTTAGATCCACCGTTAATACTTGTCATCAGCAATCAACTCATCAAATCCTCATTGCAGGAGACTTCCCCTGGATGGCCCTCCTCGGTTACAAAAGCAAAAGGACTGGCACTACCAACTGGCTTTGTGGAGGGTCCCTCATCAGCTCTCGACATGTCCTCACCGCTGCCCACTGCATCCATAACCATGAAGAAGATCTGTAAGTAATTTATATCAACTTCCAGCGGTAACAAGTGAATATCTGGTGTTATTCCAGTTCTAGAGCGATTGACATTCTTGCATTGTGGTCAGCTCTCTCCTGTTATATACATATTTTTCATATATTATGCAGTAATTATTTTACGTGTGAATTAAACAAACTAGTCAGAAGCACACTGCATATATTGCATAAACAAAAGAAAAACATAAATTGGTGTCGAATAGGATTTTTTAAAGGGGGGAAATCATCTAATGACTGCTCCCGCCTGGGTGAAGCGGGAGGGAGTGTCAGACTCTTACTGACTAAAAACCACCCAATTCGAGTCGAGTTCGAGTCGAGCCGGAGCCCCGGTAACCCGTTAGGTTCTCCGCGACATCGAATAGGAATAGGTTTCGGTGGCCAGCTTGCCACAGATAATATAAACACATATTTGACATCCTTCTTTGACATCCCCACACATTTATTAAATTATTGAAGCTTTGTCTTAATTTGTCTATGATTACCAGAAACGACAACTGTAACTTTAACAATTCAGTCAGAGAAAGTGAGTGTGAGTGAAAGTCGGTCAATCAAGTGTCGACGCCTAAAAATTAGTTAACTATAAATGCCATTTCTTTATATTTTTGTACCGATTAGATCATTTAAATAGGACATCAAAACTACTCACTCAAAGGTGGGCTAGGGATTTTTAATTCACCACTGACGCATCACATAACTATTTATCAATTTTAACCAAAACTGTCGCTTACTGATTCGATGACTCAGTGTCAATTCACAGCAGCTAAAACGTGAACCACTCTGCCAATCGTTAAACATGTAGTAGGAAATATTTGCTTATACATAGACAACCATTTTGAAAGAGTGTTTTTTAAATTTCGATGCGTGTGACGTGTTCATTGACATGTTTAATATTCTACTACTTACCTATAGTATATAGTAAGTAGCAATAGCTTCATTTGCTGTCACTCAATCACGATAGTACTGCTGGACCGATTCGAAACGAAAAATTGGCTATATATATAGTAGGGAATAATAATACAGGTTACTTTTTATCCCATTACCATGGGTAAAGTCGCTAAGAGGAGCTAGTTTAAAAAATATTTACGAACAAAACCGATTAATGTTGACACTACTTCTGCGGTGTTATTTGTAGGTACATAATGATGCTCGGGCGCAGATTACGCGAAATGATCAAGTAAATATAACCTGCTGTATGTGTACAGCAATTATATGGAATTCCCAAGTTATTTTTTTACTTTGGTTCATTGTAATATGTCTACATTTCGATCTAGGTTTTTGTTTCTTTCATATAGAGGTATGTTAGTTTTCAGACATAATTTATTTAGTTCCTTGATATATTCTCGATACTCGATCGCACAGTATTTCAGTAATTGTTCTGTTTTTTCACAATTTATTTCATTTTCTCCCATCAAACAGGGATGAGCCTAATGCAAGCACAATATCAAATCCTATCTAACTAATAATAATTTTCGAGCACTGTTTAAACCAGAACCAGACCTAGAAATTGATCGTATATCTTTTGCTTTTTAATCGAACTCAAAATGTAAAATTCACTATTGAGATAAACCAATTTTTTTTATGTCATAAGCCGGTAAACGTGCAGACGGATCACCTGATGGTAAGCAATCGGCGTCGTCCATGGACACCTGGAACACCAGAGGCGTTACAAGTGCGTTACCGGCTTTTTGGGGATTAGGAGTTTGAGGATCGATGGGGATTCAGGGTTTGGGGAGATTGGGGAAGGGGAGGGTGATTGGGCCTCCGGTAACCTCACTCACACGACGCAACATAACGCAAGCGTTGCTTCACGTCGGTTTTCTGTGAAGCCGTGGTGTCACTCCGGTCGATCCGGCCCATTCGTGCCGAAGCATGGCTCTTCCACACTTTTCCCACATACATCAATAGAAAATGCGTCTACGAAAGCAATGTACTATGTGTATATTTTATTGTTAACTTCTATATCTGAACAAGGTTAAAACCTCAGCATCCGCAGTTGTCTACTTATATATCTAAGTACTTCCACATACTATGTGCTAAAATGATGCGCCAATAGTTTGCGGCGCGCTAACAATGAGATCTGATGTAAACACGTGGTAGGTACTGACATTGTATATTGTAGTTTTATGAGGTAATTACAACCTTAGGTACTATACACGTAAATTAATAATAAGTATTTTAGATACTAGAGGTATAAAGGGAAACTACGTAAGAAACTATAAACTTATAATAAAGAATGTCTCAACTCTGAAATTGCTTATAAGTATTAAAGGAAATGCGACGAGGATATACATAACATAACATCACGCCTTTTATCCCCGAAGGCGTAGGCAGAGTTGCACATTATACTACTGTACAATGTACCAACCCACATTTCACTATTTATGTTATGAGCCCCATGTAATAGGGGGTGAGCCTATTGCCATATACCGGGCACAATTCCAGACTCCGTGCTACTACTGAGAATATTTAAAAAAACCCAGTAATACTTTGCCTGACCCGGGAATCGCACCCGAGACCACTTGCCCGGCAGTCGCACTTACGACCACTCGGCCAACGAGGATATACGTACGTATATATAATTTATTCAGCGTAAAAGAACTTTAATTTCTTTAAGTTACTTTGTTAGTTAGTTAGACAAAAAACAAAAGAATGTACAAAAATTTAAATCTATATAAATAAAAATTAATATCCATTCGTTAGTCTCGCTAAAACTCGAGAACGGCTGAACCGATTTCGCTAATTTTGGTCTTGAAATGTTTTTTTTTATTATTTATTTTATTTAGGATGATTATGAAGGATGTTTAATAAAAGTAATATCCAATATTGTTGCACGTTTATTTTACTAGTTACTTAAAAACAGACATCAACATCCTATTACAATTCTTATACACTTCCGCCATGACACTTTTTATATTAGAAAAAAATAAGAAAGAGAAAGAACACACATCTTCATATTTTGTCTCATCATATATTACATTGTCTATAGCTCAACATTCCATTCCGTTCTACTCAACAGCCTACCTCAATGTAATATATGAGAAACATAATTTCGGACACATTTACTTCTAACGCAGCAGACATTCAAATATATCACTTATAATAAAGGTAAACATATCACTTTACTTATTAATTACCAATCCCACTTTTATAACAAAATTTTAATAGTAGTTCCTTCTTCAACGGCTTTGTATACATATCAGCCACTTGCTCAGTGGTGGATATATATTTTACATTTATTTTTCCAATTAATATTAATTCTCTTACATAATGATATTTTATATCTATATGCTTAAGTCTTTTTACAGTATTAGTGTTTGCTACCATAATAGCGGACTGATTGTCACATAATATTGTAACTGGAGATACATTAGAGATATTAAAATCATTAAGCATATTAACTAACCAACTAGCTTCACTTGATGCCGTGCTCATTGCTACATACTCTGCCTCAGTGGATGAAATGCTTACAGTACTTTGCTTTTTAGAGCACCAAGATATAAGGCAATTAGAGAAAATAAAACAATAACCAGTTGTGGACTTCCTATCCCTAAGATCTCCTCCCCAATCAGCATCACAATAACCCAACAGCTTATCACCATTACATTTATAAGTAACCTTGTAGTTTATTGTGTGTTTAATGTATCGCAAAACCCTTTTCAAAGCTACCAGTAAAGTTTCATTAGCACGGTCCTGAAATCTACTCAATATTGATACTGCTACACATAAATCAGGTCGAGTTCCAGATACAGCATACATCAAACATCCAATAATTTGTCTACACAAATTTTCGGTATTTTTATCTATTTTACATTCACTTTCCAATATTTTAGTATTAAAGTTTTGATCCATTGGTGTACTTATAGGTTTACAGTTATACATATTAAATTTTTTTAAAACATTTTCTAGATACACTTTTTGACATAATTCTGTTACCCCTTTATCTAAATTCTGTTTAACATTTATTCCCAAGAAATCTGAAACCAACCCCAAATCTTTCATAAATTCCTTGCTTAGCATTAACTTAAATTCACATATTTGGCTCGCCTCAGTTCCAAAAACAAGTAGATCGTCAACATAGATTAGTACATACATTTGTTGTTTATTATTACATTAGAGTAAAGACAAGAATCACACTGAGATCTTTTAAAGCCTTCTCTAATCATAACAGAGTTAAATTTTACATTCCAGTACTTAGGGGATTTTTTAAGTCCATACAGAGACTTATTTAACTTAACAATATTTCCCCATTGTTATATGCCCCTTCAGGTAATTTTAAATACACATTTTCCTCTATATCACCATATAAAAATGCTCCTGTTACATCCATTTGTGAGACAGGTAAGTTAAGTTTTGTTGCTACTACTAAAAATAATCTAAATGTCGACAATTTTGCTACAGGTGCATAAATATCATTTAAATCTATTATATCATTTTGCTCAAACCCCCGAGCTACTAACCTAGCTTTATATTGCAAAACATTATTATTACTTTTAATCTTAAACACCCATTTACTACTAACAACTTTAATATTATCAGGTAACTTACAAACATTCCATGTATTATTTTCCTTGAGAGTTTGTAGTTCTTTTTGAATTGCTTCCTTCCACTTACAACAGTCCGGACTACTCATGGCTTCTTGAAATGTCTTAGGCTCACTGTCAGACACCAAAACATTATGGCATTGATAAAACTTAGTTTTATTCCTCACACGATTGCCTCGCCGTCTGGTAGTTATTTCATTGCCACTTTGTCCACTTGAGTCCCTGCTTTCACTTGGCTCATACAAACTTCCCTCACTTTGTGTACCACTACTAGTTTCTTGATAACTGTCCTCTGGAGGGTTTAAACATGTTTCTTCACTAGGCTTTTCTGTTTCACTGATTTCACTAGCTGATAACTGTACAGGTAGATCATCATAATATAAGTTGCTATCACACTTTCCTATATCACTCTGATTATTTTCCAGGAAAACAATATCT